GCCCGGCGGCCGGAGCTGCCCCGCACGGCGGGGCGCGGAGCGGAGCGGCCCGGCCCGGGGGCAGCCGCCGGCGGGAGGAAGGATCCCGGTCACCGGCATCCCCGGGCATCTCCCCGGGGCTCCTCCCCGAGCGGCCGCCCGGAGGCAGAGCCGGCGCTTTGGGCGCACAAGTTTTTGGGGTGGATAAAAGTTTTTTTGGGGGGTTGTTTTGCTCTTTTTGAACGGCCCGGTGCCCGCTCCTGTGCGATGGAGCAGCAGCGGGGACGCGGGCAGCGCCTGGGATTTAGCGCTCGCTCCTTCCTCCTCCCTGCGGGGATGGGAATGGGAATCCAAACTCCCATTTCCRCCGCAGGCTGGGAGCGCTGCCTAGGGAATATTTCTTTTTTCCCCAGGGTTTTCACTCCCAGACAGCACGGAGATGAGAGCGTGTCTGTGACTGGGACACGCTGGGGTGAATGACGGCGTTGTGCACACACCCAAAGCGGTGCCTACGTGGTCCAGCCTGTAATTACTTCTAGTTTTACCAAGGCCACGGTTAAGTTTCTACTAGGTTCTCAGGTGATCTTCCCAGAGCCCCTGTATCCTCCGGCTTCCCGTGCCGTGTCTGGAGCTGAATGCAAGTTGGGGTAAACCCATCGTATGAAAAACGCAACTTGCGCTCCCCTCCCGGCGCCTGGCACTTGTTGAGCTGCTGGAAGCAACGGAAACTTAAGAGGAATTGCAGGAATTGGGCCACAGGCCGCAGGGCTGCTGTTCCCGGACACCCTGTGCAAGCAGCGGGATGGGTGAAACCCGACGCTGTCCGGCTCTGCGCACGGATCGGATGCTCCGTAGGCGCCGTCCCACGCTCGCTGCCTCCCTCCTCCCGGCAGCAGTTGTGCTCTGCTCAGCATGGATACGCGGTGACTGATGGAAAGTCGTGGCCGTGTCCTGTTGTCCCTGCCCGCCCACGGGGGCTCTGTGGCGTCCTCCGCTGCTGGTGACTCGCAGGAACTTTTGTCACCTTTAAAACTCTTCCTTCTCTTTCAGATGGTCTGAAACTAGCTCGGAAGCTCCTGGGGTGGGGAGAGGGAGGAGAAATCCAACTCACTTCCCAGAGAAAAAGATTCGGTCAACGAATGTGACCAACTTGATCATCAACTAGATGGGTTATTGTTACAGTGTATGTGGAATCTGTAATGCAGCTATGTGCACAGAGGCAGCTCTTTCTGGATCAAAACCGTTTCTGAAGCCTGTGGCCTGCTGAGATGCTTCCCAAAGCCACACAGATATGACCAAGTTGACATTTTTGCCCTCGCCGCCTGTGTCCTGGGTGAATCCTGCGTCGCTCTCCATGCGATGTATGGAAGCGGCTGGACACTTACACGGATCTGGTTCCTCGGGTGACCAGAAAGCCACCAAAACGACCACGGCGTGACATTTATTCACGTGTGCTCTGCCAAACTTCCCGAAATAGGTGTCTATCCCTGATGGCCGATGCGGCGTCCGGAAGGTCTTCTCTGCAAACCCTCCGTGCCGCCTCCCTGAGCAGCCCCGAGGTCGGGGGGCAGTTGCAGTTAACACCATCTGTGTTCCCTTCCAGTGTGCGTCACCTTCCTGGGCAGGTTCTACCAGAGCCTTAAGGACAATGACGTTGAGTTCACGCCTGCCAGTATTGAGAAGGAGCTCCTGAAGTCCTGCAAGGAGGCAAAAGGCAAAGAGAACCGGCTGGTAAGTAGCAGGAAATGATACTTGCCTCTTGAGGAGGAAATAAGTTGTAAAAGTGGTTGGCAAATGAGGGGAAACTATGCATATATGATACAGCTTCCCGGCGGCTGTTCCTTCTAGCTGTGTGGCCACAACTGGTAGTGTCCTGTAACAAGAGATTTGGGAATTATGACTGCCTCACTTCTTCAAAAACATGTATTTTTTTTCTTCCTGTTAACCAGAGTTCTTGGGATTACAAAGCTTTATTTTCTGTGGGACTTCCCCATCCTTTAAGTGGTATTTGGGATGCTGCATTAGCTGCAAAGATATAAATGTTGTTTAGGTGAAAAATAAAGGTCAAATGAGCTGAACTTAATTAAATCTTGATGACAAACCCCAAGGAAAAGATGCTGAGTGCTCCCCAGGAAGAGACCTGCAGAGCGGACCATCAGAAATGCAGAGGGGAAATGCTTCAGAAAGTCCTTTTCCTTCAATGAAGAAGACCCTTAATCAAATCCATTAAAAAAAAAAAAAAAAAAAAAAAAAGAGAGAGAAACAAGGCAAAGAGCCTCAAGAGAAGCAGTGTGATAGGAAATGCCTTTGCTCAGTGTTTTTGCTTTAGAGTTAGGCTTTCTCTTGCCTGTCTGTAGCAGTCACTTCAAAAGGTTCTGTAACACGGAACATCCAGCTGCACAAACCACACAAGGAGAGAAAAAATTCCTTTCAAAATTGTGGGTTTTTTTTTTCCCCGTGTATCTCTCCCTTGCTTTATTTTCTCCTCTCTAGTGCTACTACATTGGGGCCACAAGTGATGCAGCTACCAAAATCATTAACGAGGTCTCGAAACCCATGAGTCACCACATCCCCGTGGAAAAGATCTGCGAGAAACTCAAGAAGAAAGACAGCCAGATCTGTGAACTAAAATACGGTGAGTTGCCAGCAGGAAGGGCGATGCCCGGGCGGCTCTGGGGGGCAGATCATCCGGGATAAAGCAGCCAACGGGCCTCTGGTTCACGCKTTACAAATTAGCCTTGGGCCACCTTGTTTTGAAAGGCGCTAGGACCGCCTGCTCTCCAGCTCTGTTAATGAGATCACTGGTGTAATTAGTTGTACAATCAGGGTTGTACATGAACATCCCAGAGAGCTTTCGTAGATGCTCAGGTAAGACTGATAGGAAACCTTTCCAGCTTGCAAAGCAGCACGGGTCTGTGTGGAAGCAACTCGCTGCGGGGCACGAGGAGTGTCCTGCTGATCCCTGCACTCGCACCCTGTCCCAAATAACTTACTCAGCAGCTTGTCCTGGGCAGCCAGTCGTGGTGCTGGGGCTTGGGGTGGTGTTTGTTGTCACCATCCATAGCAAAGCTGCCTGGCACAGCCAGGGTGCTTCAGCTCCCTCCTTCTCATCTCCTCCACCGTTTGCCCTGAATGCTCAGTATGTTTCTTGACAGCTTCCTTGAACTCTTCTGTGCCTGGAGGGTATGATTTTCCTTAAAACTCGAAGAAAACGCTTGGAAATGCTTCCTTCAGCTGCTTCCCTGTAGCTGTGCCTTTGCATTCCAAGGAGAAGAGCCAGCTCGTGGGGCTTTACAGTTCTCACTCGCTGTATTAGCTCGCTTTATGGTTCTCGCTCGCTGTTGTTTCCTAATCAGCCTTCCCTTGTGCCACTCGCTTATCTTTCCTCTGACTTCTGTCCGTTTCTTTTAATTCTTCTTCCGGTGGAAGAGCATTTCCCACGGTATTAAGAGCTGGGGTTTCTTGCAGCACCCAAAAAAGGCAAAAAGCTGGGTTGACGAGAGCGAATTTTCCTTAAAATAAGACCAAAGCCCAACACTACCTGGCGCCCGAGTCCGTCGGCGCGTCCRTCCTCCGGGCGGGCCCTGTGTCCCGCTGCCCCGGTTGTGGCCSGGGGGCTGATGGCGGCGCCGTGTCCCCCCCTCCTCCGCAGACAAGCAGATCGACCTGAGCACGGCGGACCTGCGCAAGCTGCGCGTCAAGGAGCTGCGCCGCATCCTCGACGACTGGGGCGAGACGTGCAAGGGCTGCGCCGAGAAGGCCGACTTCATCCGCAGGATCCACGAACTCATGCCCAAGTACGCGCCGCGCGCCGCCGGCGCCCGCGCCGACCTCTGAGGGACCGCGGGGGGACGGGACCGGGACCGGGATTGGGATCGGGAATGGGCGGGGGGGGCGCGCGCTGTAACGGACCTCCATTAAAGTAACGGTTGTGGCGGGAGCCGCCTGCCGTGTGACG